CTTCCGGGCGTCCTGGGCCCGCCGGGCCGCGGCCGCCCCCGGGGATTCCGTCGGCCGGGGGATCGGCCTTCCGTGGTTCGAGAACGCCCCCGCGGAGGCCGAGGCGGACAAGGCGGGGGAGGCCATGGAGTGCGAGGTGGGGGTTGTTTGTCTGTCCGCGTTGGTCCCGCCGCCGCGCGAGGCCCACGCGGGGTCGAGCTGGGAGGCCCTTCTGGAGGCCGCGGACGGGATTTTCCACCAACGTCTCGGGTATTGGCTCTGGCGGGCCCTCTCCCGCGTCCGCTCGGCGGCGATTATCATCGGCAGCAAGGAACTCTTCCGGCGGGTCCCAATCTTGCAGGAAATCGAGCGGTTTGTGGTGCACCAGCGGCTGGTGTTGGCGCCGCGGGATCCCCGCTGGCAGTACTGGCTGCCCGCCGCCGTGGCGGGCAGTGTGCTGGCCTTGTGCTGCCCCGCGCACCACAAATGCCGGCGCATCGCCTTCATCGCGCTACGGCCCCCCCGCGCCGGCGCACGAAGCGCCCTGGAAAGCGAAACGGACTGTTTTGTCAAACTCGTGGGCGAGCCGCACTGCCAGTCGGTCTGCCTGCACGGCTTCGACCGCTGCCCGAACGGCTCGCATGTCTGTCTGCTGCCATGCCATTTGATGGGCCACCCATCGGCCTCCTCCCCGGCGGGAATGGCCCACCCTCGCGAGATTTCGACCCCTTTCCCAGCCCAGGACGAGGCGGATCCGCCGGATGGGCCGGCGATCGCGATGGCGCCATCCCCTCATGGGGTTTGTGGGTACCCGTGCGGGAAAGTCCTCCCCTGCGGGCATGTCTGCCATCGCGCCTGCGGGGCCCCGTGCGAGCCCTGCCGGTTCGTCGGCTATCGCGAGCTCGCCTGCGGGCAGCGCGTCGTGAGCGGCATCCACAGCGCGGACATGGCGATCCAATACACCTTCTTCGCGCACTTTCAGAAGACGCGCTGCGGGGCGCCCCCCTCGCGGTGCGAGGTCCCCGTCAGCCTCGCCTGCCCTCGCTGCGGGCTGAAGTCGAAATGGCCGTGTTTTCGCCTCACCGAGGCGGAATCGCCGAGCGGGCAATGCCCGGGCTGCGTCGCGTTGTTCAACAAAATCGCGGCGAAACACGGCCTCGCGGAATGGCCCGCGCCGGCGCGCGAAACGGACGGCGAACTTAGTTTTCCCGGCGCGGATGCGTCGGGGCCGCCTCGCGAGAATGCCGAACTGCCCCTGCATTTACTTTCCCCCGAGCTCCGACACGAGCTCGACCGCGCCTTTCTCCTGGCGCGGAAGAAGAGTGAGCTGCTGATGAAAAAGGACGCCTTGGAAATCAGCAGTGGGAAGCTCCTCGCGCCGGGTTCGAAGCCCTCGGACTTTGTCCTCTACAGGGACCAGTACAATGCCCAAAAAAGCGCACAGGCGCGGGAAGAAGAGCAGTGGAAGATCTCGGTTAACGAGCAAAACCAACACTGGGCGCAATGCTTGCGCGAGCAAGTCGAAAAACAGGTCAACATGAATGCCAGGATGGAAAACACGTGGCCGCTTCTGCAAAGTGAGGCCGAGGCCGAGATGAGAAAACAGGAAGAAGATGTCTAAAAGAGGCGAATCTCTTAAAAATGGTGGATGACAGAA